TGATAACGCACTCATAACAAATATTAAGCTGACACACTTGTCACACTTAAATTGCACTTTCGCTTACTGTAATTTAATTTGTCTTCGTTCGTGTTAAGTAATTTTTTCACGATCTGAAGAGATTATGCGACCCATCAATTTTTTTTTCGCGACCCAAACATTTGGTCGCGACCCATAAGTTGCCGAACGGTTGATTGCACCATCATCGCCAACCGAGAAAAAGAAGAATTTTTGAATAACAATAATAATGATATAATACAATGTTATGATGGTAGTTGCGCAAGAATAGGAAAAGACTAAAGTAGGCCTACCTGGTTCACACTTTGGTCCAGGTGGACCGGGCGGTCCTGGTACTCCCTGTTCGCCTAGGATGGGTAAAGATTTCATAGCGTAAGTTACGAGAATGCATCAGAACTTCTTTTTGTAGGTTTCATTAGGCAATGTAGTAAAGTGTTAATCGAAATTGTACAAGGCTTCTGCCAATACTACGTTCGTTGATATAAGTAGGTATCGCTTAAAGAGATTTGTTTATTGGAAATGTGTTCCAAATGAAGCGCTCCACTCTCGAAGCCTCATAGAGCATAAAGTAGAGGTGGCTGAACCTCATTCAAAGTACAATTATTCATTGATAAACGAAAGTTAAACTACTAACTAAAGCTAAATTTCCAAAAATTTCGGCAAATTTACAACGAAATGCAAGTGAGCCAATTGGTTATGCCATCTTCAAATTAATATTGGAAAGAGTTTTTCGATTATGGAAATTGTTTTTATTTCCAGAAAAATGTTCTTAGTTTTTTAGCTTTAGCTTAAAAATGATTATTTTAACAACCTAAATTATTAACACAGAAATTATACAAAATACCTGTCTTTCTAATGGGTCCCCTTTCGCCTGTAATGATTAAAATTAAATAGCTGTCATGGCTGTCACATTTGAGATAATTCATTTATTTATATTAAAATATAATAATAGACATAACAATTATTAGATTTATTTATAACAATTAGATTTTATTTATCTATAACAATTAATTAATTAGAATAATTAGATTAATTAATTTATTAGATTAATTTATAACAATTATTAGATTTGATGTATCATACACCTAAATGGGCATATCACATGTATTTGTCCATAAAGTTTAATGTAACAAATTAATGTGATGAGTCCATGGATATGATGTCATATTACACCCGGATGTAATATGACTATCAAATTTACTTATCAAATGTGTGATAGTGTGTGAGTGTGTGATCAGAGCTTAAGTCAATTCAAGTCAAACTTACATTGAATGTCACAACTAGTAGTCAGCGACAGTGCTTCGGACTTTTTTTCCTGATCTGGCGTCTGGAAATCAGACTGTAATAAGTTTATTTTTAATTATCTATTCTTAACTAGCCTATGGCTAGGCAGCTTTATGAGAATGCATATTGGTTGTTTATTATCCCTTAAGCTTCATTACACTGACTGTAAAGTGCCTTTATTATTTAAAAAAAAAAGTATTTATACAAAACAAAAATTATACGGTATGTAATTTTATATGGTGAAATTGTAAAAATGGGAAAATTAATTTGCATTTATTGAAAGACTACCAAAATGTATCCTATCCAGCACCTGTTAAGTCTCGGCCAACCCATCACTCAGGCACCTCCTATCCTGATAGAAGTAGAAAAGCTAGCTGGCTAGGAATAGAAAACGGGAATCAAAGAGAACAAAACAAGGTACTGGAAAGTACAATAAACCAATTTTTATTCCTACCGAAAGTCCTTTCAGCTTGATGTCGATTTGCTGGAACTTGAAAATTACAGAAGAACACAACAGAAGCAGTCCAACAACAACAATGAAGTTGAAAATCGATTGCCGGGAGATACCACAATACAATCTCTGAGATTTCTTCTGATTGCTTTCCTCTAGAATCAGTTCGTCCATATCTAAAAATTTAAGTTAATTCATATGATATAAGAAGGATGTGGAGAAGAAAACATTATATGTACTAAAAATAGCAAAAGCATTGAAGTGTGTGTGGCAACTTGATTTGATACCAAGTCAGGCATTCGTCATGAGACTCATTTGGGGCCTAGACCACACATCTGCGGCCCCGTTTGAATGCCTATCTTTTATCATAAGATGTTCCCTCCAATTAAAGATTCCCTTGATTTAGAGACCAAAGACCATGGTTTTGGCAGGCCCAACTGAAAAATTTCCTTAAAATTAAAGAGCACTATAAAATTAATAGTGATGCTAATGCATTTTTTTTTAAAATCAATTTTGTTATGACTTATAAAATAGAAATATTAGTCAATGTTTGTTTTGTGTGCAGTGTTTTCTGTATTGAATAACAACAATGTTAGTTACAATGTTAGTAATATTTTAATGGAAAGAAAAGTTGGGTTGGATGTCTGTCTACCCTCTGTTTTATTAAGAATAAATAATAGCATAAAAATTGTACATCCTTTTTAAAACATTTAATGTATTATTTTTTAATTTCCTTCTAAATAAAGAAATATAAAAACCACCAAAGCACTGACAAATTGTTTGGGGAGCAAGATTGTGAAAAGCATTAAAAAGTTAAGCAGCCAAGTTGATATCGATATCTGATATGGAGACTTCAATGATCTATGTTGTTATAGTTTTTCAAACCGATAAGTTTCAAATCTCCGACGTTATCTGACGCACTAGGTTACATCACTATGATTTTAGGCTTTGAAATAAGAATATTATTATAATATAGATAATTGTTATCATGTAAGCCTATACCAACTAGCTGCACTAAAACTGTAGATATATCATTTTAAAATCGCTGTCGGATAAGACCAAAAGGACGCGTATGGTACTGTTAGTGTTAAATGTTAACTAGTTATTGTGATATTATTCTGTTCATCATCATAGTTTGTCGCCCTCTAGAGAGAGGAAAAGTGAGATGACATGGAGGGGAGAACGTGAAAGGAGTAGTAGTGAATCTTGGATAGGCTTGGCAAATTGAATAATATAGTTTTTAACAATATTTACACGGAAGTTAAAGTTGTTTGTGTCTCCAACACAAATGTGCACGGTACATACACTGCCAGCTCATGCTCAGGCCCCTCTAAATTTTTCAAAATAAAAAGTGTTTACGTTCGACAGTACCATTTTCGGCCATAGGAATCTCATAGCCTAATCATACAATTTCTTATACCCTCTTTGTTAGCCCCCTCTATTACAAATTCCTGGATTTGCCACTAGGAGACGACCTGAAATGCATGTATTTTCAAGTAAAATGGAAAAATTCAGATCCTGAATGCCTTTTCAAGCATTTAGAAAATAAACTTTCCGTGGGAAGGAGGTGTGAGGTTTCCGTTAAAAAATCTCACGCCTACAATTTGTCTCAACTTGAAATCTCTGAATTTGATAATAATAATAATAATAATAATAATAATAATAATAATAATAATAATAATATTAATAATAATAACAAATACTTATATAGCGCCAATTCAAAAATTTATCAAAGGCGCTAGGTGAGGAAATAAAGCGATACAATAAAGCGATTAGTGGCGGATGCAGGAATTCGAAATAGAGGGGGCCCAGGGAGGAACTTTCACAGATAGGGACTCTATACCATCTCAGCTTTACCATGGTTGTGGCTGAGACAAGAACATTCATGATTATGGTACCTTTAGATGGCTAAAAATTAGATTATAATTTTTTTTTCCAATTTTTTTTTTTACAATTTTGAGAAACTTAGGAAGGGAGGGCGGCTCGTCCCCCTCCCCCACTACATTCAATCTGCCACTGAAGATATTATGGACAGCCGAGGATCCTTTGAATGAATTCAATGTATCTTTTATAAATATTTATTTGCCTATCGCCAGTAGCGTAACTAGCGGGGTGCGCGAAGGGCGACTCCCAAAAATACCACTCCCATGTAAATGTTCGAAGCAAGCAAAATGACGCTAAAAAAGCCAAATCTATTCTATTAGGTCAACTGAGTTAACCAAGCTAAAATAAATTACCGAAACAGACTAACGTATAAATAAATAAATAGTTAAAAATCACCTCATGTCATTTTATTTTGACTACCGCGCTTTGTGTTAGGGAACGAAACACACACAAAAAAAAACTCTGAACATATGTCTGAAGCAATTGAAAATACATGTATGCTCTTTTGAGCAGATATATATTTCAACTTATTATTGTTGGGTGATTGGTTTAAATATTTTTGTCACACTTTATGAATCTATTTCATTGCAAATCTGCTGATTTATCATTCAACTTATGACCTCAATAAAAACTTCAGTTATTTTATACTGAAGCTTGGTACGTTCTAAAAGCCTACAGCAATATTATTATTCTAAACTGCCATGCATATCGAAAATTAATGATTGTCATTGTTATACAGACTAGGAAGTTTTATCATAAAAAAATAATCTTTGGCCCACAATGACATTCATGCAGTTTTGAGGCACAACTAAGCCCTACGGCGATGAGCTTTCCCACCAAACGTTCTGGTAGTGCAAAGGTTGTTATTTATATATATTATATCTTATTTCTTCATGGTATGATAAGCTTCTTTCTTTAATTGTTTAATCACAGGGCCGGCGGAACGTCTTTTCAAAGTGGGGGTCACTGGTAAGATGAATGGGAATATAAATCGGGGGTGGGGGATCTGGGTTCAAATTTAGGGGTGGGGTAAAAATTCCCCTCCAACCCCCCCCCCCCCCCCTAAAAAAGGAGGAATCTGGGGGGACCCCGGGAAAATTTTTATTCCTAGATGGAGGAAAATGAGCTTTCCCGACTTTTCAGCTGGTGTCTTTTAATGACTTTTATTCTTTAAAATTCAATGTTTTTTCCCTCTTGAAAACGGTAAGGTAAACTTTCTCAGTCATTCTTATTACATTAAACAGGCCTGTTATGTGTGTATTAATTCATACATAAAACAAACTGAGTAGTTGCATACATATTCTTTTTTCCATGAATCGATAAACCCGAAAGATACAGATGGTCTGGGGTTCTCCCCCGGGAAAATTTTTGATTCCTAGATGGCGGGAAATGAGCTTTCCCGACTTCTGAATTGTCTTTTAATGGCTTTAAAGTTTTTCAAGAGTCAAGGTTTTCCCCCTTGAAAATGGTTAGGTAAATTTTTCTTATTCTCATTACAGTAAATAGGCATATTATGTGTGTAAAAGCATACATACGTTGCATACACGTGTTCTTCTTTAATGAATCGATGATCCCCAAAAATAAAAAAATATTCAGGGGTCCCCACGAGAAAATTGTGATTACTAGATGGCAGAAAATGATCTTTCCTGACTTCTTATTTCATTATTGTAACAAAATATAAAAAAAAAAAACAAACAAACAAAACAAAACAAAACAAAAATCAGCTCACGGGTCTTGAAAACTTGTGGGGGGGGGGGGGGGGGGGGGGGGGGGGGGTTCAGGACCCCTGACCACCCATATCCAAAAATGTGAATTCCTCCTTCTTCCCTCTTTCTTCTCTTGCATTTCTTTCCGATCATACAAAAATCTCCATAGATATTATATATTTTCTGCCAGAAATTGTTAAAAGTGAAAATAAATAGACGGCCAGCGACATTTTTTAACTAGCTGACAATACTTAACCGCTTAGGACGTCTTTTAATTTGTATTATTATGTACCTAATTATACTTTCAAGTTTATTTGTAAAAAAAAAATGATTACCTGAAGAAGATCGCTAAGAAGATCACTCGAAGATGACTTGATGCTACGCTACCCCAGTGCAAACGTACAAAGTGTACCGGTATTCTATACAGTGCACTGATTTATATTTCATTGAGCTTTTAATGTGGGTGACGTCATGTCCGACTGCTACCGTAAACAGAAACACTGATATCTTTTAACATCCTTATTGTGTGTTACACAGAAAGCATGTGGTAGAAAAAATGGATGATCTGGGAAAGTGCTCATCGAAAAACCACTAAAATTATAGTTTGAGTTCCTTATTGATCTTTGTGGAGTGTCAATCGAACTTGAAAACTGATTAATCGGAACAGTGCCAGGAATATAATATATAATTATGTACCTCAGATAGTTTTAAACATCTTGAAAAAAGATTTGTAGGCATTTGCAAAGCCTTGACGAAATGTGATGAACAATGCAGCAGTTTCTCTTGTCTTCTCCAAATTCCGAAGATCTCTTGACTCATCTTCCGATTGCTCGTTACTTTCATTCTGATGGATAAGTTAGGCCTAGTATTTAAAATAATTTGTTATTATTAATAAAATTAAAAGTTTTACACGTTTTTATCAAAAAATCGTATTTTTAAGGTATTTAGTCACTGGAAGATTCAATTTGAATATATTTGGTATCATACGAAAGCTATTAACATTATTTATCAAACCATGTATATGGCGACATACTATGTTAATTTTGTGACCCAAAAATTATCAAAAAACATGTTTTTCATTATTTTATTGGCTAAATTTAGTGCTTCAAAATACCATTTTTAGCTAAAAACGTGTAAAATGTGCCATTTGTGCCAAACAATTTGGCACCAAAACCCGAATATTTGCCTGAAAACAAGCCAAGGCTTAGTGATGAGAATCCACCATTTTTATCTTTTTATGAAAAAATCAGACAAATAGGTTGTTAGCTTAGTAGTTTTTATAAATTATAACATGTATTATTTAATTTAGACAAAAAAGTTATAAAAACAAATGTTTTCTAGAAATTATGGAGCACACAACATTAATATAATGTGTTATCATACACATCATTTTGATAGATAATTTTCATAGCTGTTGTATGATACCTAATATATTAAGATTGTATCTTTCAGTCACGTACTAGCTTCAAAATGCCATTTTGAGGTAAGAAAAACGTGTAAAATTTGACATTTTTGCGGGAGATGACCTTTGACATACTATAACTCCGCAATACAAAATGGATAATGTACGATTTTTTTTATTAGTGTTTTATTTCGTAGCCTATATGGTTATTTTGAGAAAGTATCATACGAAGATGTTAGCTTAGTATTTTTCGTATTTATTTAGTAAAACATGTATTAATAATTTTTGTTTGGCATCAATTATATTAATTTAAGTTTTCGGTGTGGGTGGGCAGTGCAGCCATTGCAAAAACAAGAATTACAATTAAATACAAATATTTCCTACTTAATTTTTCAAAAAGACAAGTGAAATAGAAGGCTAGCGACTTGTTTACCAACTAGCTGCTGTCATGTGTCTTTTATTTTTTTTTGTTCCTCTATATTCCTGGGTTCAGGTTTATTTGGAGAAAAAATAATTAAATTACCTGAAGTCACTAAGAAGGTTACTTGATGCCAGGCTGCTTCAATGCAAACACAACTAGTTCTATTTTCCTAATGATTTAGGCCTATATAGCATTAGCCTTTTGAAGTGGGTGAGAACATGACGGGCTGCTACCACAAACGGAAACACTTTTTACTTTTTACTTTTTCTTTTTACATCCTGATTGAATGCTACAAAGAAAGCATGTGGTAGAAAAAATGGATGATCTGGGAAAGTGCTCACCGAAAAACCACTAACACTATACTTTGAGTTCCTTATTGATCTTTGTAGAGTGTCAATCGAACTTAAAAACTGACTAATCAGAACAGTGCCAGGAATATAATATTTACCTGTTCATTATTTAATAATAATAATAATATGTCGCTCTTATATATATATAGGGAGCAGAGAAAGTTGCACAAAATCGTGCTGGTTTCTTCCTCTTTTATTATTATGTACCTATTCAAGTTTATTTGGATAAAATAAATTTATTGCTTAAAGAAGATTGCTAAGAAAATCACTTAAAGATGAATTAATGTTGCGCTACCCCAGCGTAAACACAATGAGTATACTATTTTCCAAATTGTATCGATTTATATTACATTACCCTTTTTATGTGGGTGAGGTTACGACTGGCTGCTACGTAAACGGAAACACTGATATCTTTTTACATCCTTATTCTGTGTTACAAAGAAAGCATGTGGTAAAAAAAATGGATGATCTGGGAAAAGACTCACCGAAATGGCACTAACATTATAGGGTTAGTTTCTTATTTAATACAATGGAACTATCTGGCGTGTCAATCAAACTTAACAACCGATCAAGCAAAACAGTGCCAGAATATGAATGTTGTTAGGTCCTATAAATAAATAAATAAATAAATATTTAAATGAATATCTTCAAATTGAATCTCTCAGTGACAGACTAGCTTTAAAACATGATGTTTGAGTAAACAAAGCGTGAAAACTTTGCCATTTTTTGGTCAAATTTGGCACTTAAATTCAAAATTCAGCGTGGCAACAGCCCATTCCGTACGAGCCAACAGCTGTTGATGAGGATTCACCTTTTTGCAAGCTTTTAATAAACAATGTCTACGAAAAAACTTTTTTTTTGTGTACTTTCAATCTGATGACCACCTATCTATTACAAATGCATGGACCAAAGTTACAGCAGACCCGCGGTACAGAAATCTGCAGATGCTGCCAATTTTTCTAATGCCCCAGGATTTGATGAAAAACATTCACTATGTTATGTACACTGGTTATATGATTCATCTTGTAAAAACGAGAGACAAAATGTTTGAATGACCGATTGAGAAATGTGATAAACACAGGTTGAGAGGAAGTTTAGAGCGTGACCGGTAATACCAAAGCGAGAATATAAACATTGTATCAACTCTGAGTGATATATTTTATCAAATGCTGAAGAAAAATCGAACATGATCGGT